ATGTCGGAAAATAATACTTGACATAATGCTCTCTAAACCAGGCCACATCTTCAAGAAGATTAGATTGTAAAAAAATCCACAAATAATTCCAAAATTAAATTTCCCGGAATAACGAAATACAAATCACGTGGATACAAAAAGGCTACAGATTGTTACACGCAAAAAACGCAATTTAAAGTAAACATTTTTACCAACAATCAATATAGAAACCTAACAAAATCTTTCAAACCAGTGGTGGCTGGCAAGGTTGTAAAAAACAAGGAATTTTATTCTAATTTCAGTATATTTCCGTGTACAATGTAAATATAAACGACAACACCCTAAACATTTTTAGATTCAAATCATGATGGGAGCTGGACGTCCGAAATTACAGTTTTCACCCTCTGGGGTGGCTAATTGCTTACGGAATTCGGTAACATTTGTAAGCAATAACAATTGTAGCCATTTCAAATTTTTTTATTGCTGGGTTTATGACTTACATGTTGTAATTGGGCTTTTTAAAACTGGAAGAGAAATATCGCAGTATATAACATTATCTTTTAGGAGAAAGGGACGAAACCATCTTGTCAAAATCAGAATATTATTTATTGATGTAGGTACCTTAATACACTTATGAACGTACCTAAATTTTCATTTACTGCCAGTTCTTAAATTAAGCGTAGACCGGACGAAAATAACTAGCAATAAACACTCCGTCACTCTTCTACATATTCCCGTCAGTCAATTCCCTACTCGATGCTTAGTAGATAACACACTGGCTTCTATACCCGTAAAAGAATTAAACCGTAGTTTGTTGGTCGCCACAGTTGATACTGACCTAACAGACGCAGAAAAGTTTGACACAACACATAAGGTGACCTGAAGAAAATTATTTATAGGTCATTTTTATAAAAAATTCACAAGTTTATTTCACTTTCTAGTATCTAATATGAATTCCCAATACTTGATTCCAAGTTCAAATACATTTTGGTTGAGTATTGATAGTGAATTGCAATGTTCTGAGCAACATACAAAGCACTAAGTCGCCACACAGAACATTTCAATTAAGCTTAGTGTAGACAAACTTTTAGTCCTCTCTCTATTTACATGACTTTTCATTAAACATTGTTGTAGATTATGCCTTACTCTGACTTGGATATTATGTTTGGGAATAAGAGTGTTTCGCGTTCAGCATTGCACAATACGTTATTGATCCAAAACTAAAATTAAAACCAAATATTGTATATTGATGTAAGGCTTCAATAATAGAATTATACTTAATAAAGATCTGCTCCTTCTTGCTGGATAAATTTGATTCATAATTTATATTTGCATATTCAAATAAATATCGGATAAACGAACATCGCATAAAGAATAGCGGAATTATGGCTATCATGGAAATAAATTTTTACTCCTTAATATGTACATAATTCGCTAATTATATTATAATTTAGCGAAATAAGTTTAGGGGTTTCACTCCTTTTAGCCTCTTTGATGCAGTCGTGTTGGTGGATGGAGGTGAATTAAGTGGCTTCAAATATCAGAGTGGCGGAGTGCGCTTCCAAAGCGGGTGATGAGTCAACACATTTACACCTTGGTAAAAAAAGGGTTTTGGATAACACTATTCTAATTAAGAACTAACTGCTCTGTCGCTCTTTATCAAGGCTATACCAGAGAGACAAATAAACCCGATGCATAGGTATAATTTCACTGATTTAGTTTTTGTGTATTTGGGTTAATCTCAGAATAGGCTTACAAAATTCATAATCACCTAACAGAGATACCGCATTGTCTCTTACGTGTCTGGGGTCTGCTAAGTTAAGCACCTTCTAAAATTATAACTCCCTACGGTTTTCACAATATACTGCTTATAAGCCAACTTAACTCTTATTTAAAGACAATAAGGTCTAATTCTGTGCGCGCATTCAACTTATATTATAGGAACTGTGAGATGGTTTGAGAAGTTACCGCAGCGTTACTTACCTTTACGTCTAACTTGGTTAGTTGTTGGTCATAAAGTTATATCATAATGGGTAATTTGACAATATTTAAAAAAAACATTTCAACTTTGTTTAATTCTGTTCAGTATTGGCTTTAAAAATTCAAATAAATATTATTAATTTTATAACAAGTCAAAACGCTTCTCTATTCAAGATAGTGTCACATCAGTCCCTATGTTGTGCCATACTTGTACACCTGTAAAAAAGTCAAGTTTACTAGGTAATATTTACAAGCGCGCTACGTGACCGTCGACTAATCTATTGCCGGTATGAGTCACGTGGCTGACGTATTAAAAAAAAATTTAATGATGGATGTTTAATAAATCATTATTTATACTATTACTCCATAATGCTGAGAGAACTCTCAATAACACTTCATTTTTCATACTGTTGAATTGCTATGTGATATTTATACGATTATTCAAAGAATTTTGTCTACACTGCGATTTTCCGATTCTCAAAGACTTATTCTATTTATTATTAGTTTCGGTTTCTCGGTATTCTAGTTATAATAATAAAATATTCCGAGACTTCTGAACTTTAAAGCATTAGTGCTAGTGCTATTTTGATATTTTAGAAAGGGGACTTTAAATTAGGTTAGCAAGTTTTTTATTTCTTGTAGCTTCTTTTGAAAATACAATATTACTTGACTATTTTAAATATACTTAGTACCAATAAAAAAAACATATATCTCAATCAAAAAACTTTAAATCCAATTAACTTAAATCTAATAATTCTAGATACATATTGTATTTAAAACCGACAACTTTGTTCAATCTAAAACTATTTCAACGGACTTCATAATTTATTTTCATTTAAATAAGATGTTTTATATGCTGGCGCAAATTCGACTAAGAGTCCTTCTAAAAGAGAGCGTGCCTATTCTTAAAAGGCCAGCAACGCACTTTCGAGCTTTTCGCAATGTGAGTGTCCTTGGGCGTTGATGTTACTTAACAGAAGAGCCTCCTGCCCGTTTGTCATCTGTTCTAAAAAAATATATATGTACAAATCTAATGTTTTAAAGTCCAGAGAAGAAACTATTTCTTGATTGAAACACTCGAAAGCGAATTGCGAAGCTTTTCTTGTTTAGGAACCTAAACGTCAGCCGCAAAGCCTACTTTGTATCGCTATTTGTATCCTGCTGGGACCCGTTAAAAGACAGACGCTACTGAAGTAGCTGGATGGATGCGTCATTACACTAATATAAAAGTTTATTTAAAATATAGTTGGTTTATTGAGCCTGAGTTTTTAGCACTCCAAAAGAAATTAATTCCTAATTTGACTACAATGAAAATATTTCCAGTGTATGTTATTAGTTACATTAATTTCATCACTAATTTAAACTATATCACAGGGCTGAAATACATAACTTAGCCATCGTAAAATAAATACAAAAAAAAGTAGTAGCAATTTTGTTCTTAAGGTTTACATAATTGTACAAACCAAAATATACTTCAAAAGTCTTCCCATAATAAACAAGCGAGAGCATAAATTGTACATTATGACGAATTACGTGCTGGCGCCATAACCTCACACAGGGACCGAAAAAAATTTGATATATTTTTTCTAAACAGCCATTAAGACCGGAATCATCCAGAGAGGTCCGCGGTACGAGAGGAGGGTAACATCCCCTTCTATTTTCGGCTCTTGAGTTATAGTCCGACCAAACGTTGAAGACCGTTTTAGTGAAATTCGCGTTCCGTTTTACGATTGCCTCCTGAGGGCCGGATAAATAATTCAGAGGTTAAGTTTTTGGTCGGGTTTTATTCAATTATTTGATATTGATCGGTCTTTAGCTGGAATTAATAGCAATTGTGCTTATACACTTCAAATATAAGGTTTACTTCTTTTGTACGATAACTATTTAGTAAACAATATACTTCATTAGGAATCAAGAAATTACCGTAGTTATTTGTACCTTAAAAATTTATCTTATTTGTTAATTATTATTTTATGTGTTTATTTTTGTTGCAATATATTTTCAAAATTGATATTGCCATCTATAGTACATAAGAATAATGTGTCAAAAAAACATCTCTACCCGTGATCTCATTATACAATATTATGGAGATACATAAAAGTAAATTAAACTAAAGTTATACTAATAAAGCGCTACGAAATTTCGTAGTTGCTACGAACCGCCGCACCACGAATAAAATTGAAGTTAGCAAATAAATATGTCAAGAATAATTCCGCACATAACATCTCACAAGAAGATTCGTAATAATCAACGTCGACCGAGTTCACTTGCCTAGCTAAATATCTGAGGGAGAGTGAAAGGGAGGCCTGTATCAAGATCTCCCCATAGCGTACGCTATGAAAGGACCGAGAGGGAATTTTAGGTTAGTGGACATGTAGACATACAGACGAGTACACGGCAAATTTGTTGCCTAATTTAGTTCGCATGTCTTGTGTTTTGTGCGTCGCGTCATCGTTTATCGTCGTATAGTGATACTTAGCTGATGCTGTATATATTTTATGTGCTTCGTTTAGTATAAGTGTTTATAACGTTCGAACAGTGCTGCACTGGGACTGAAAAATAGTGTGTGGTTTGTTTGTAAACAGAACGGCATGCGCCTCACAACGTAAACAGACTGCATTCGTTTCATTCTAGTTTGTTTACGAGAAAAACTGCCCTGCACTTTTCTAGTTTAATTGAAAGCTCAAATCCAGTACCTAATTCTGTGCCAATAAAGATATAAATATTAATTATATATAAATAGTTGTATTAATAATTAAATATAAAAGTGTTAAATATCCGTCTTCAAAAAAAACTTGTTTATACCGTAGCACGTGTGAAACATTGAGTGGGTGAAATATACGAGAGTTGAGCCTCTACTATAAGATCGATAGCATTACGCACTACGCGAGCGAGACACAAACAGACACAAATCACGCACACTGACGCGTTCACCCTTCGCCCTCCGAAAGTAAATAGCCCGCGAAAGCTTTAAAACAAAACCGAATTTATAGAGTAAGAAACGTAGTACAAAACACTGTGATTATTTTATAACTGTGATAATGTTGGTCGGTGCGAATTTGTGTACGCCCATGATGTTTCCGAGTTTTGTGCAAAATCCGTTGATGAAGACTGTTAGCCCAACGCATGAGCCCATAAGGATGGTGACATCTATGCCCTCTACCCCAGTGCACGGTCCATTGGACAGGAGTGCCTCACCCCTCACCCCCGCAGAGAGGACAGGCGCTCCCCCAGGCGCGGGAAAGGACGCTGTGAAGCTTTTTATTGGCCAAATACCTCGGCATCTAGAGGAAAATGACTTGCGCCCGATGTTTGAGGAATTTGGAAAAATTTATGAACTTACAGTGCTGAAAGACAAACACACGGGCATACATAAAGGTAATCCTATTCGTAGAGACAAGTGACAATTGATAGAATTACTAACATATAATTTTATTATGAAACTTATAGATAATTTTACATTGCTTTATTTCAGGACGTTGATCGATATGAAATCTTTTTTTTTTTTACAAGAACTGTCGATTGTTTGCCATCGCGAGTCGAGAAGTTGAACTAAAAGCCCGCGTATTTTTGCCAACACATTAGCATAGTATTGGGGTTATGTAAGAGAGAGAGTGAACTTTCTAACTTTTCAACATATTATTACAATGGAAAAACTCTTTTCTAGTCGCTATAGCATATTAGCTATTTAACATTTATAAAACAGCATAATTTATTCGTGTACAATAATAGTACGAATTAATATTAATTAATTCACATTTCGTATATTATATTGCTCAAGATTCTGAAGATGATTACTATAATTATAACGTGTTAAGAAATATTTAAGATATCAAAATAAAACAAAACAAATACCAATAATAATTTTATTTTGCGTAAAATAATTTAGCGAATTGTTCTGTACCGGTGGAAACAGTAAGTATATTTATAAGCAAACACTTATTTCAATTTGATTTTATCAAAATTTGGAATAGACTGGTAGTTCTTATATGTATTGCCTATTTATTCTATATATTTTAATACAATAACATAAGTTCCTGAGAAAGGTACTACTACTACGTTATATTTATAATTTATCTCTTATAAAATAATGAGCAGCCATTATATAACTTATATAATAAGCTTGTCACGCTATAAAACTTGCAATTTCTCCAAGAATTACATAAAGGTAGTTAAGGTTGTTAGAAGTTGAGAAATTGTAACAATTTTCATTTGGAAAACAAAAAGAATTTTCTTGAAACAAACTGTAGGTGGGAAGGAAGAAATATTATTTACGTTTCCAGCGGAATCTTTTGATTAATCGGACTTTCAATTTCAATTCGAGGAAAATATGCCTTCGGAACAAGCCTCATGTCAGCCATTGTCTTGTATTCAGAATATAATTCTACGTTCTTTCGGCATCAAAGTAATTTGGCAAAACATTAGGTGGACATAACTGAATCGTACAATCACACACAAAAGCGTTTTGAACGAATAATTATAGAACTTACATATAGTGGGCATACTTATAATGTTTTATTTTTAATTAAGAATTAGACTACCGAAGTTTTGCGTGATTACGATTGATTGATGTATTGATGAAATGAGAATGAAACGAGTCACTAGTCAACACCCACTAGTGTTGCTAGCTATATTGCCTGATAGATATACGTATTTAATCTAGTTAAATGATTTAATTGTTTTATAAATAAAATATATAAGTTGATTAAGTTTTGCTATAAGAAATATAGTTTAAAGAAAAGATTCAACGGTGAGTGTACTTTTGTTCCCACTATATATCATAAAAGGTTATAGATTTGTTTTTTTTAAAAACATGAATAATCAAGGTTAAATAACGAACTTATAGTTTTTGAAATGCATTTTTGAACCAATAAAGAGCTCGGTCGTTACTTTCCAAATTCCATATATATTATAAGTTTAAAAGCATATAATATTTTTTTATATCCAGTGATATATAGCATTTAAAAACCTAGCAAACTTTAAACACGTATATTTTAAGAGCTTTCATAATTAATTATCTTTTCTTAGGTCTACGATATAGATGACCCAATTGCTCACTTACCCTTCTCCTATAAAAAGCTCTGCCAAGTTTTCTCAAGTTATTTTTAACAGGTGTTATAAATCATAAACTTTTACCTCTTAACGTCTTAAACACAGCCATCTACGTTCTTACAAGTTTAACTTTTTATTATGTCAACCACTTATACTTTAGCACTGAAGAATATTCAGCCGCCATTGTTTTACTTCATCCTTAAAAAGTTTAAGATAAGCCTCAAAATTGTCTAAATAAAAGTTTCCTTCTGAAATCTAAATGTCATTCAAACGAATTCAACACAATACAATGAAAAGGCTTTAAAAATGCATAACAGTAACTGGACATTAATCATTGTCCACTACAATTCAGCATATCAGCGTACAATAATAAATACAATCGCGTTATTCAGGGATTATATACGGACGGCGACGCAAACAATAAAAAATGTAATTCATTTTGTGGCGTGCTACGTCGGCACACGTTGAACGTTTGCATTCTGCGATATTGATTGGTGGTCAACCGATATTTTGGTGATTTTTGCTATTTTCCGTATTTTTAATTGTTATATAGTGTCGTATATGTAATCACTTATAATATATAGCAACTAACAATACTAGGATAAATGTAAAAAAACAATCTCAATTAAACAGTGCAATAGGTTAGTTTTCAGTGCCTGCTCAATGTCAATAAGTGACAGGTTATGTTTTAGCGATGGGGCGGTCAAATTATTATATAGATAAACAGTTCATTCATTCAAAAATTCAATTTCTACTATTTTTTTATAATACGATGTATTTGAAATTTGTAAATAAAACAAAGTTTCAGCGAAAGAACATTATAAGAAGCATTATAAACATTTATACGGAATTCTTATATGAATAATATGTTAGGCATAATGAGGAAATGAAAGTGAAATAAAAAAGGAATCGTGACATTCCATAATCGAAGTACATGTTTAATTAAATTAAATTAAAATTAAATACGTATTACTCATACCTAAAGATAAGTTACAAGTTTTACAAATAGTGAATATCATGAAAACTTGTTCTACTTTCATGCAACGTTAGTTAACGGCAGCAATCGATGGAACATTCTTAAGATAAGGAGTTTAATAGCTGATAATTGCTGTTGATTACGCGTTATTACACCGAACAGTTTATAACTGCAGTGGTTATATATTTAAAGCGATTTTCATACAAATATTTTAATAAAATACCAGCAAGTTCAAGTGACTAAGAGTAAATGATATAACATTTAGTACACAGTTTTCAGTGATTTCAGTGAAAAATATTTTCGTTACGATTGTTTACGTATTATTTTAAAGTAACTATATAAAGCTTTGATTAACTATTAAATATCAAAATAACCACTACTGTGTGGAACCGGCTGCCCGTCGAAGTATTTCCGAACCACGACTTAGGATCCTTTAAGAGTCCAATAATACTTTAAAGGCGCGAGTTTTTTTGGCATTGTGAGTGCCCATGGGCGGCGATACCACTTAACACAAGATGCGCCTACTGTCCGTATACCATCTGTTCTATAAAAAAAATGTTTTTACACAAATCTAATGAAACTAGTCAGCTAGGAAACAAATCTAATAAACACAGTTTATATTTCATACATAACTTTTTATGGCTCGTGTTATATTATGTTTTTAATACATAAATTATACGAGCATGAATTTAAAATAACTTGGTCATTAACATCACCGTTGGAAGAAATTTAGAATTATGTTACAGTATTTTACAAATTTAAGGCGAGGGCGCGTAGTTATACCTCTTTTCCTTATAAAAACAAAAAACAATATTTTACTTCAGGAAATAAACCACAAAGTCCAGCCATAAAAATTAGACATCAAAAATGTTTCCTGTGCAAAATTTCAAGAAAATTCTTTTAAAACCACGGAACATTTCACGCTATAGAATAAGTAAAATTTCCTTCGGAAGTGGGAGCCAATAATTCATAGCGACGAATTCTCTGTGTAGATTTTGACGCATTCTGCTTTACGGTGTTCGTTTTTGAATTTAAAGTACATTGACTAACCACAAGGCAAATGATCGCATTTCATTAAGAATAAGAATTAATTATTAAAATACCATTTATTTAATAAACAAATTTGTTTTTTCCTGTTATACCCAAAAATATAAATAGATCTGGCAAAATTATGACCAAGAATAGTTTTATTTTATTTTAGGAAATTAAAAAGATATAGTTTCGACAATTATAGATAGTGGCAATTTTTTTACAGCTTTTGTCGTACAGCGTATACTTAAAGACATTATCCCTAATTTATAACATAGGAATCTAATGCATTGTAAAGACCACATACGTAGATATAAGTACAAAACAATAATAAATTTTAGAATATATTCGAAAATCGATTCCCCTTTGTACACTCTTCCACGCAAATGCGGACCGCGGGCGGCGGCGGGGAAATTTGTCACCCTAAGTGTTTTTTATGTTTGTTTTAGGAATGGTCTGAATTCCCGTTACATCATTGTTTTAGGGTTAACAAGCTCGATGTTAACACTCTTTCTAAGTACGTCAATTAAAAGTTGAAGTTGAATTTTTACAAATTGCAAGCTATTGTTGAAAAGTTAGGACTTGTCTTGCTATTAATTTAAAGTTTTGACTTTTAAAGTTTGTATTGCTTGTTATCTGTTAGTGAATACCTGTATTTTATGAAATTATTATGATGATAAAATAACCCGAAACTTTAAATATGCTTGATAATATTATTTTTTGATTTAAGTTAATTTTAAATAATTGTATAAATTTTAACTTATAGAAAATATTGCTTCTAAAATTAATAATAGTATTCATTCATTAATATCAATTTCTTTATTTAATTTAATTGTAAGAAAAAATGCTTAATGATTGATGAATTGACAGGTCAAAGGTTATCAAATGTATACAGGTATAGCGAGCGCATTTTATTTGCTATGTGGTTTGCAGGTGGTAAAAGTTCCATTCTAATGAAATGGGAAATCGTCTTAGGTAGTATTATGTAGGTAGAAAAAAATTATACCATTAGTCATAAAGGCTTATATCCGTATGAACAAAACCGCCCAAACAAGCATCTTTATCAGTTCTATACGATTCTCATAAAAACGTTTATACAACGCTATTGACGCAATTTTAAATTACCCTCCAGTTTAAGCCCGTTTCAGTATGTGAACCTGAAATCTTCAACTCTTAATCAGACACGATTCATGTGAAGATCTTATTTGCTTCGATAACAAGCCAACTTGAGCGCTTTGAACTCACTTCATTGCCTTTGAGTCGGTATGAGTTTTAGAAGACTAGTAGGCATTAATAAATTTACTTTTAGACAATGACTATTTTGAATGGTTGATTTTGTGTTTCTTG